GATCGGAGCTCCGGCCTCAGGAGGCACCAGGATGGAGGGAGGATGATGGAGGAGAGGGAGAGGGGGAGGGAGGGAGAGAGGGAAGGAGGAGGAGGAGGAGAGGTGACAGGAGGCGAGAGGAAGCAGAGAGAGGAAAAAAACTGGACAGCAGGAGACGTCTGTTTGTCTTCAGAGAGCAAATACAGCAGCATCCCTCCTTCCTCCTCCCTCATCCTCACCCGTCCTCCACCTGCAGCCTCCCTCCTCCACCTTCGGAGCCTCTCGACAGGATCTGAGAGCAGCTCTGGGCCTGAGAGGGACGGAGGGGTGAGGAGCTAATATGTCCTCCTCCTCCCCCCCTCAGGGATCAGAGCGAGGAGGGAGGAGGGAGGAGGAGGAGAGGGATGGCTCGGTCTCTGGTCTCCACTTCCTCCCTCCTCCTCCCTCCGACACATATTTGATTTTTCTGCCACATAACAACATTGATATGCAGCGGTGGAGGAAAAACAGCAACCTAGTGGCCTGTAAATGGACAAAATGGAGCTAAAACCCTGAATTCCACCTTAAACGCCGCCTTAATAATCACACACCAGGTGATTGATTCTACCTCGCTGGAAATTAACCGTCTGAACCCTGAAACCTGCTCTGGAAAGGCACATTAGGTTTGTTTTTATTATTAAAAAAAAAAATTAAATAAAAAATTACACCCATTTATCAGAGACACAGTTGTGAGATTTACAAGCTGTGCTTGAACTAATCATGTAAAATCACGATTACAGCTCGTATCGATGTTTAAAATTCCGCCAAGCGTGAATCTTTTGCGGTAACCGGATTCTGCAAAAAAGGAAAAATTCTGCGTTTCTTGCCGCAGCCGTGAAGTCATCGGCGACTCAGCTGCGACCGACGGTTACGCGACAGAAATTCTGCGACTTTTATCTTCGAATAGCATCATGACTGTTCTCTCTGCTTCTAGTCGTGCTTGTGCCGTTTCCGTAGAGGTTTAGGACTTCAAATATTGCGAGAAAAATGAGCTCAGGGAGAGTAAAAACATGACAGGAGGGTTAAATCAGCTTTACACGGACAAACTCAGAAGAAAAACACTCAAATGCTGCACATTGAACTGACATTCTGATGCTACATACGACAGTCAGATGCTAATCCAGTTGCTGTAAGCTAAAGTTAGCCGCTAACAAGATGGTGTTGGAGCTCAGAGGAGGAAGAGGACGGATGAAGACATGAAGAGGAGACGGAGAGGAAGACGAGGAAGACGAGGGAGGCCTCAGAGATGCTGGAAAGGTTTCATCAGAGCGCTTGGCGTCGACTCACAGTCAAACCTCCCGCTCAACGCTCATCAATCCGCTCTCAGCCAATCATCACTCAGATCCCCCCGGAGACCCGCCCACCAGCTGCACGTGCTCACACACACACACACACACACACACACACACACAGAGTCGTGCAGCAGCAACAAGCCACATCCGTGTCACAGAGCGGCGACCACATCATCCGATCACACGAACGTCTTCCTCCGGCGGCGGCGGCGCTTCCCCCTCCTCCCCTCCCTCCCTCCCTCCCCGGCTCGCTGCTTCCACTGAGACATCCACCGCCGTGGCGACGGTAACCGCGACAACGGGCATAAATTAGCGTCATGGCGATATGCAAAGCGAGGGAGCAACAATTAAAGCTTGACTAACGAGCTTTTGAGGAGCGAGGCTGAAGTTTCCCCGAGCAGCTGCTAACTGGATTAGCCTGCGCGCACACACACACACTCTCACACACACTCTCACACACACACAGGATGTTCAAACACCACCTGTGAGACGACACACACACACACACACACACACACACACACACACACCGATGCAGACAAAGCATTGAAACACAGCTTCACCCAAACACAAGCGACACATCAGCGAAAAACGACACAACTACAGAAATAAAAAAACACAATTTCATGTTAAAAAAATACACAAATTGGGGCAACGGGAGGAAAACGAGAGACAAGAGACGAGACGCGACCACAACCCCGGCAGCAAACACACGACTTTGTTCAAACGCTGCCTCACGAAAACAATTAACTCCAATTACAGAAAAGTTTGAGAAACTTTATTGATGCCTCGAAACCCACCGACAGGCTGGAGAAGGAGAAATCACCGCTTCAGCCGTCTGAAAAATTCACCAAAAATAAACGGCTCCAACCAGCCAGATTCTGTCAAATACAAAAAATTTGAGGCTTTTTGGTGAAACCGTGACGGCATGAACGATCGAGCTGCGACCGACCGTCGCGTCACAACAATTCAGGGAATTCCAGCAGTCCTTGAACTGCTCACGTGTGGCGCGCGGTTTAATTTGAGATTTATCAGTTTATTCTACGTCTCACGTAAAAAAAAATGTACAAAAATAAACTGTTTGCTTTCATCAGATTCCGTCAAAAACAAAAAATTCTGCATTATTCTGCGCAACCATGAGGCCATTCGGGACTCAACTGACGCCAACAGTAATGTGATGAAAACTCAAGAACCGAACTGGGTTGAACTGCAGGCGGTGTTCAGAGAGCCGAGTAGAAAAATGTCTGTAGTTTTTTAAAGCCACCATTTTTATTTATTATTTTTTGCATTTAGCATTATTTTATTATTTTAATAGTAACACCTGTGGATACGAGAAAAAATTTACGTGTTTTATCAATTTTTGCGAAATTAAAGTGAAGAAATTTAACCTTATTTTTTCTTTTATTCATAGTTTATAGAATCAGAACCGGGTCACGCTGCCCAGGAGACATGTTTAAGTTCTCTCTACTTCTAGTCATGTTCGTTCTGTTTCCGTAGAGGTGCAGGACTTTATATCGTAATGAAAAATGAGCCGACGGTGACAAAAAACGAGCCAATAAACGGCACGACGTTGCAAAACCTCCTGCACTATTTGCTGCACTGTGACGTCCGAACACCCTCCGGTCTACCTGACAGGCGGAGCTACGACAGGAATCAGGGAGCTAAAGGTGTGAAACGATAGAAGTTGATCCCTAAACTCCGGCAGCGGCGGCGGCGAGCTAACAGGTTCTCTCCAGCAAAGAGGGAAGTTATTGAACCGTGAGATGCGGACGGATAACCGACAGGCGGGGATGAAGGCGGCGCTGATACGACGGTGGGAACGCTGCTGAACACACCTGAGCACAAACAGTAATTAGCATAAACACCGCTTACGATCCGGCCCGGCCGCACAGAGCATGTGTGTGTGTTTTAAAGCCAGAGCCGGGATCCATCCGCTCGCCGTACTTGGCTCACGTCGCCGTTATTTTCAGGATTTCTCACCTTGACATACTGAGGAATTTTGCAGCTTTTTGTCTGCCGCGCCTACAGTTTGGCCGCAGATGGTTGGAAATCTCCAACATTAAACGACTGACTGCCAGCCTCGTGTTTTAAAATCTTTTTTTTTCTTTTGGTGGGGGGAGACAAACGCTGCCAGTTGGCACCAAATCTAAGGCGACCCACCTCTGCAGCAGTGATTACGTTCCTCCAGAGAGTCGGTGCGAAATGTAAGAAAAGCTTCTAAAAACACGAGTCGCGTCGCACACGACAAGGAAACCGGAGTTCACCTTTAACCCGGTGAGTTCTGAGCAGATTCTGGGCGGTTTTGTCGTATTTTCACTCGCTGTGGCTCATTTTTCTCTGCAGCTCAGCGGGAACAGAACAAACCAGGAAGAAGGACTCAGAAATACGTGACGTGGAAAATAATAAAGTATTAATCAGTCATAAAGACGAAACCCTGGAGTCAACACAGATGTCACCAAAACTGAAGGGTGGCTCTGAATCCTACACAGATTTTACTACTTAGACTTTTATTTAGCTTTTATCTGCTCTGTGTAAACACTGTCTGCAGTTCAACTGAAATCCCTGAATTTAGTTTTTAAGAAAATTAAATGAAATTTTTCGTTTTTTACTGAATCTGGTTCGTCCAAAGTGTCATTTTTGCTAATTTTAGAAATGTAGACTAACGCGATTTTGACATATATATCTCAGATTTGGTTTCTAGATCGAACACTTTCTGTTTTTACAGTTTCCGGCTCTGATAATTAAACCGGTTTTGGTCTCCTGCCTGCTCCGTGTACGCACAGCCTGCAGATCAACCGAAAACTCCCTGAATTCTCGTTGCGTGACGGTTGGTCGCAGCTAAATCACTCACGGCTTCACAGTTGCGCCAAGAAGCATGAAATTTTTTGTATTTTACAGAATCTGATTCGTTCAAACGCTGTATTTTCAGTGAATTTTTAAACAAGACCACTCGACAATATTTTAAGATTTGGTTGATTTACGCACGATGAGTTCAAGGACTGTGGGAAAAGCTGAAGATCCAAAGATTCTTTACAGTTTCTGGCTCTGACAAATGGTGTCGTTTTGGGTTTGGAGGGCGACGTGTCACCGCCGGTTGTCTACGTGACGTAAACACGGATGTAAAGCAGAAGGACAGATTTATTTTTACGGTTAAAATGTTCAGCGCTCACTAAAAATAAACACGCTAATTACAGAGCCACTACAATTGTGCTTAAATCCACGCGGAGCAGCGAGTATTTTGCATTTCAGACACTCCACTCTGCACTGCTCACTTATTTCTCTCTTTCCAGGCCCTTGACTTTCTTTTTAATATGCTCCGTCCTCACTCCACAATAAATCTCTCGCTCGCTGCATTCGCCTTCCTCCTTTTTCTTTGCCTCCTCTTGCACATCCCTCTCCTCTCTCTCTCTCTCTCCTCGGTCTCCAATTCTCCTCTGCTCACTCAAATAAATCTCCCCCGCCCTCCCCTTCCAGTCGCCACCGACACCACCAACCCCCCGACTAAATCTATGAAACACTCTCAAACATACATGTGCACGGACACAAACACACAGCGCTGCAGGCAGCAGCAGCCACAAAGGCCTCATATTAATAAATCTGCGCCTTTATTGGTGCTGAGTGTCTCTGGCAGAGGGAGGAAGAGGGAGGGAGGAGGAGGAGGAGGAGGAGGAGGACAGGAGACGCAGAGATCACCAGAGGGGAGGAGGAGGTGACTGACTGTAGCCGTATCATCAGCAGAGGAGATGAAGGGAAAAGGACGAGTGCATCATCAACAAGCCGCCGATCTCCAGTGAACTTAATGAGCAACAGCAGGAGCAGAGAGAGTGCGAGCTCGCGTTTATTCGTTAAGATACAGGCTTTAACGCCGTCCGTCCGTCCGTCCGTCCGTCCGTCCGGCGGATTATTAAGGTCGCCTGACACCTGGCTGAACCTGATCAGAGCCGGCCGAGCCGCTCGCCGGGGCTTCGGGGGGAAACAAACCGCCCGAGGTGGGCTTTGGGTAATGACAGCAGCTAGCTCGGCTTAGCGGTCCAATCTCAGCCATCAGTCAGCTGTGACAGATTGGGGATATGAGCTAAGGAGCCGTTTAGCTTTGGTGTTTGTTGGTGTGTGAGCGCTTGTGTGTCCGGGGGAGGAGGAGGAGGAGGGAGGAGGGAGGAGGAGGAAGGAGGGGGGAGGCTATCAGCGCTGCTAGTGTTGCAGAGGCATCAATACACTCTCGACAGGCCATTTTCCTATGCCTATTCCCAGCCCTGGCTTGTTGCTGGGGCAACTACCGCCATTTTACCTTCCCCGGCTGCACCTCTGGAAGGTTTTTACAAAACAGGAACCCTCGTTCTGTAACAACTGGTCAGACCATCTGAGCTGAATGTGCAGAGAACCTCCAGCGGACGTCGAGCGTTTCAAACCCGCCTCGCTCTCGCTGCAAGGTCAGGGGTTGAGTGTTCCGCAACGCACCTTCGCGATTCATCTCTTTCACTTTGCATCGGAGGAATCACCCGGCGCAACCGCAACCGCCGACAGACGAAGGAAAACTTCTTCCAGGACCAACACTATCGACCGCACTTGAACTCTGACAGCCGCATTGATCACAAACAACAGCGCCGGCTCCCTTACCTGTCCGTGAGGCTGCATGGTGCTGTAGGGCATGTTCTGGTTCAGCACCTTCTGCTTCATCAGCAGCATCCTCTTCTGCTCCTCGCTCAGGTGGGCCGTCTGCCCCGGTATCGGCCCCTGCGTCTGCCCGGGCCCCGCCCCCTGGCCGCCACCGCCTCCCCCGGCGCCGGCCATGTAAGGCGGCATCATGGGGTTCTTCACCTGATTGTTCCCTCCCATGGGCGGAGTCATCCTCTGACCGATGTGGTCCACCCCGCTGCCGCTGAAGTGGCTCAGCGGCTTGGTGTTGCTGTAGGACAACATGGCTGCCGTTTGCTGCTGCTGCTGCTGCTGCTGCTTGGACAGGGCGTTCTGGTTGATGCTGTTTGGCTGCTGCTGGCCCATCATGCCCATGTGGTTGTGAGGGAGGTAGTTGTTCATGGGGGCTTTGGGCCCATTGTTGGGGGCCATCCCAGCCACGAGAGGGCCCTGCGGTGCGTTAAAGGCTTGCGGTGGGTACATCATGGGGCTGTTGGGTTTGTCCTGGTTAAAGGGACCGGAGTTGTAGGGGCTGGTCGGGGGGCCGGCGGGGGACCAGCTAGACGCTTGCTGCTGCTTCTGCTGCAGCAGCTTGGCGCGCTGCTGAGCCATCGCTTTGAGCTGCTCCGCCGGGGAAAGTTCAGGCGTCACCGGTCCGACGGGCTGACCTCCAGGGGCCACGCCAGCTGCGCCGGGACCCGAGCCCGGCGCCTGGCTGACCCCCGGGCCCGGGTTCATCATGTACCCGTTCCCAGGCCGAGAGACTGCTTGTGTCTGAGCCTGGGTGGGCGTCTGAGGCGAGCGGGCCACGCAGTTGTGCAACGGCGAGCCCGACGCCATGGCGACGGCCGGAGACTGCTGCAGGGGCTGCTGAGGAGGCGTCCCATTGGCCGTGGTGGCAAACTGAGGGCCCGACGACGACGGTCGCACCTGAGGAAAGGAGCACAGAAACACCATCAGACTCACCATCTATGAATCAACAAAAGGCCAGGAGGTGATTAGCTTAGCATAACTTAGCTTAGCAAGAAGAGAACCAGCCTGACTGTCTCTAAAGTGTGTGTAAAACCACATTCAGACCTGAGATACATCTTGTTGTGCCTCACTGCGTTATGAAGACGTACTCACCACAGTGACCGACAACATGCTAGTATTCACCAAATAGTACATGAAGCTACATGATGGACGAACAAACCTTCTTCTTAGGAAAGTAGGAATGCCTACAAACAGTTGGAAGCACGTCACTCACTAAACAACAGTCAAACATCATTTTTTACAGCGTACCCTTACTAATGAAGCAGCAGACTGATAACGAGTCTCCAGCATCACCACTAATCAACATAAACCTGATTTGAAGGACCCGTTCCGGCCCAGTCAGTACCGACCTGTGGTGACCCCATCGGAACCTGCGGGCCTCCCTGCGGTGGCTGAGGAGGAGGAGGAGGAAGTGCCGCTGCCGGCGCCGCTCCTCCTCCGGACGCCGCCGCCGCCGTGTTGCCGGCCGCCTCCTGCGGTCCCGGCGTCTGATTGTTGGCCGGCCTGCCGAACTCTGCCTCCTTCTTGTCCTCGAAGTCCTCGTTGAAGAGGTCGTGCATGTCGTCCTCGGGCACGGTGTTGGCGAGCTCGTCGATCAGCTCCTGCCACTCCTGGTCGTTGAGGTTGATGTCGGAGAACAGCTTGTTCTGGTTGGACAGGGACTGCGGGTCCGACGACTCCATGCCGCCGCCGTCGTCCAGCGGCTCCTGCTTCAGGTCCTTGAGGAGGCCGAAGCTGTCCTCCAGGTCCAGCGAGCCGTTCAGCTTCATGTCCGGGAGGTGGCTGCCGCCGTTCTTGCCCAGCTCGTCCGAGGCCCGGCCCACGTGGGTGCCGTTGCTGTTTGTAGTGTTGTTTCCGGTGGAGGTGTTGGGCCCGCCAAGCAGCGGCTTGATGTCCATTTGGTGGTGCAGCGGCGAGATGGGCGGCACATTGTTGCTGTTGTTGCTGTTGGGGAGACCCGTTAGCGAGTCCAAGCCGCTGGCGCCGTCCTTCCGGACTCGCTTGGTGGTCGGCGAGTAGCTGCCTCCGTCACAGATGCCGTTCTGGTCTCCGTTCAGAGGCGACCGCGCGCTGTCCAGCTTCCTCTTCACCGTCTCCTGCAGCTGTAACGAAGCAGAAACAGGAAGTCAGTGAGATCGTCAGGCTGCTGATGACGGAGCAACATGAATCAATACGGTGACGGGCTGCCGACTCTCAACACGCCGAGAACCGTCACGAGAAGGCGAGAGGTGGCAAAAATCAAAATATCTCAGAGACAAATCAATCGTACCTTCAGTCTGGACCTAATGTGGCTGCACTAGAAATAAAAAATACCAATAAGGAGACGGTGAAGGACGGCAGGAACCGAGACCTGAGACAAAGCAAAGGGCAGAAGATTCCACACGAGATATTTAAAAAGCCAAATCTGGCCTTTTATCAGTGTTCAGTGTAGATTTTTATTGTTCATTTCTCTCTATATATATACAAATATTTATCCAGGACATGTTGAGAAACCAGAAGGACGTTCCTCTCTCAGCTTGTATTGGTGCCATACACTAAAAAATGGCTCAAAATACAGCATAAATAAAACAAAATATATAAAAATCAACCCATGTACACTGCTGGTGGCGCAATACAGTGACGGCTCCTTAAAGTGTAAAGTTCTGCAAATGATTCTAATTATTTCAACGTTTCTGAAACGTTGGCGAGGAAACGTCGAGGCTTCAGGTAAACAAACAACACCGACGGGGCAAAGTGCGCCACAATAATTTAGGTTTCCGTGCAATTTAATAAACTCCCTCCGTCTCGGTTTCACTCCTAACTCCCGTTAATTTCGCTCCCTGATGAAGTTGGCAGAGAAATCGCCGACGCCATTAAAATGAGGGATGGGAAGCGGGGACCTCATCAGGAGGTTCCCAGGGCGCCAGTTCCACGCCGCGACCCGAATCCGAGCCAACGTGGGAGGTTCAGACGCAGAGATGAGCTTTTTCTGGTCGAGACTAGAAGCACGGCTCGACTTCTAACAAGAACATACGCACAGGTTTTATCTTTATACGAAAAAAATGAACCAAAAAACGATAAATATACGGTAATGTTCCAGATTTAAAGTCTGTCTCTGAGCTTTAATTTCACACGATCGTTTATTTTTTAATGTAATTAAAGCACATTTCCATCCATGTGTCAAAACAATGAAATTAAATATAATAAAAACCTACATTTATATAAACTTCTGTAATTACACGAGATGTTTCTAACGAATATAAAATCACTTTATCTGTCAACAGACTAATTTTAGAGATAAATTTACTTTAACTTGAATTTAGCAGTTTTATTGATTAAACACAAAGAAAATCCTCCTGAAAGTTAGACAAATTAATGCTTAAATAATTAATTTTACCTTCAAAGTCACAGGTTTATGTTGATATTTTGCCTTAGACGTGCAAATTCAGTCAATTTTAGTTGTTTTATTCATATTTTGATATTAATTTTTTAAAAATCTGTAAAACAAAAAAGGACAATCTTGTTTTTTTAAACAAGAATCCCTTTGCTAGCCCACATCATGCACATTTACACGTCTATGTTTACATTTTTCTTTTATATTTTTATTTATTCGTCTACTAGGATGAATGACATGGTCTAATGTTCATTTATCTTTATCTCGTGCGCCTACTTCTGCTCCGTCTGAAGTGAAAACTGAATTTTGTTGTTAACATTCTACAAAAATTGAAGAAAAACAAAAAAAGCAAGAATCTGGTTCCTGCAAACAGGACGTTTTCTGGTGAGTTTACCAACGAGCTGCGTGAATAATGTGGTTTTATTCTCCAGACACTGGCTGCAGTTCAACCGAGGAGCTCCAAAATGGTTGAAACGCGACTGCTGGCTGCAGCCGAGTCACTTCTCTGTTTCAATCTGGTAATTTTACTTTTGGGAAATTTTCAAACAAGGTGTGTCGATTTGGCCGTTTACAGCTCCTGTCTCTGATAAAAAGTGTAATTTTGGTATTTTTTTAACCATAACGTGTCTTTCTTACAACACAAGGTGACATTTTTATTCAAAACAATGTCTAATATCAGCCCAGAAGCATTAATTGGTTGTTTTAAAGTCAGGAAACAGTGACTCTGCCTTCACGCTGGAACAAACTCATGCAAATGCACAAAAAAAAAAAACCCGACAAACTGTACATTGTTAGGAGTCATTTCTACAGTATCCTGCACATCTGCATTTCAAACAGCCGTCTGTATGAGAAAGCAGCTGAGAAACAGTAAAATATTTGAGTAAAACCCACACCGGCACATGTGAAGGAGTCGAAGGCACACAAAGGCAGCAGATCCACGCTCGGCTCTTTGTTATTCAGACGGAACGACAGACAAAATATATTCAGATTGTATTCTGACCCGGAGGTGGACCCATTCAAGCACACACACAGAAACACACAACGCAGAGCTGCTGCTGCACAAATCTGTTTTTTTTTTTCCTTTTTCTTTTCTCCTGTTGGTTCTTGGTTTAGTGGAGTGTGGATGGGGTGGAGCTGTCAGCGTGGTGTCTGACTGACGGCCGGCCTAATTATCTTTATGACAAATGATATGATGATAAACACCGTTAGCGCTGACAGCCCAAACTGCAGCGTGAAGCCTGAACTCTTGTAGCCGTCAAAAGAAAACACACGTGTGCTCCGTCACGACACGGCGGCGGCGTCAACGCTTTGTGGTCCCCGCAATCGATGGGTTTAAATAATTCAGCTTCAACTAGTGTGTGTGTGTGTGAGTGTGTGTGTGTGTGTGTGTGTGTGAGAGTGTGTGAGTGTGTGTGTGTTTGAGTGTGTGTGTGTTCGAGGCTTTCCCTAAATGCCAGTGACTCACGTTGATAATAACAGACTCGTCTTTCAGAGCCCACCTATAAAAACTCCCGTAATTATCCAGGTGGTGTGAACCGGCTCCCACACAGCTTTCCTACAAACACACACACACACACACACACACACACACACACACACACACACACACACACACACACAGCCGGGATAATAATAATAAAAAAACTAAAAAAATGAACCTTATTTATGTGATTTTGAAGGCAGACGGTGGGTTTGTGAGTCAGCAGCCGGAGGGAACGTGACGGGATGAATGAAAGGGAAAAAACACAATACTTCACGATAACTGCGGCTAATTAATCATTTGTTTCTTTTAGCGCAATTAGCGACCTAATTACACCTCCATGTACCTGCCACGCTGCAATATTTTTATTTGCCGGGATTGACGAGAGGACGCGGAGAGACAAAGAAATCCTCAAGTAGTTTAATCAAGCTGGAGTGCTGCAGGGGAAGAAGAAGGAGAAGAAGAAGAGGAGGAGGAAAAAAAAAAAAAAAAGAGCATCGACGTAAAATAAAAAAAAGAAAAAGAGCAAAGACAGGAAAAGGGAAGAGCCGGTGTGTTGTTTGACATAAACACCTGCTGACTGCTCCTCTGGCTGCCGGAACACAAGGCAGCGACAAAGGCTCAGAGACAAAAGGTGAAAGAGAGACGAGAGCGAGGATTTATTTGTCAGGCAGATGGTCTTTTTCTCTTTTTTTTTTTTTTTTTAGTGGAGGAGCTACCAGAACATGAAGATGAAGAGGTGGAGGTGGAGGTGGTGGTGGTGGTGGTGGCGGTGGGGGGGAGGAAGGAGGAGATAGGTGGCTTGATGGAAAGGCATGGAGCGCCAAATGACAGCGGGGAGCAAGCGATGAGAGGCCGATCAGAGAGGGAGGGAGACGGAGGCTGCTGTTGTTATAGCAACCTGCTGCTGCCGCTCTGCTGCTTTGTGCTTTCTGCATCCTCCTTCTGGTTCTTCCTCCTCCTCCTCCTCCTCCTCCTCCTCCTCTCGCTCACTTACTCACTCTCCGACACCCTCCTTCCTCCTCTGAGCATTAAAGGCGGCGCGACGAGACACAATATTTGTTTGTGAGCCCTCCGCGGCTAAACGTCGAGCAGCTTGACGACCGCCGCAGGAAGTGATGGGTTTCGTGCTTCCTCTTCAAACGGGAAAACGGGGCGACGATGACCAGCGTAGGAAAGACAGCGAGGTGTTTACCTGTTTGGGATTTGTGCCATTTATTAAGGCGAGAAACCGTAAATAGAGAAAAATTTGCTGGAGTTAAAACGTTGGTGGCGTTCCATCGCCGAGAAATGGTCTAAATCTAACTTTAAAACCCTGATATTTACAAAAACGCTTTATTTTACGTAAAATTACATAAAAATTAACTGTAAACACATCGGTGTCTCAACTTTCCGACAGTCTTTGAACTACTCGTACACAAATCGCCCAAATCTAAGCTGAAATATTGAAATTTCATCGACCATTCGCTCTCCTTGGTGCAACCCAGATTACCAACTCAAAGAACAATCGAAAAGTTCTGGGACTTTCTTGGCTGAACTTCAGGCGGTGTATGAGACCGGGCCCAGGACCAAATACTTAATCGATATAACAGCGGGTTGTCCTCTGATTAAAAAGCTTCTTGACACCATTTATTAAGGCGAGAAACCGTAAATACAGAAAAATTTGCTGGAGTTTCAACGTTGGTGGCGTTCCATCGTCAAAAAATGGTCTAAATCTAAGTCTAAAACCCTGATATCTCAACAAAAACGCTTTATTTTACTTAAAATTTCATAAAAATTAACTGTAAACACAGAGAGCGCCATCGGAGTCTCACCCTTTCTGATGGTCTTTGAACTAATCGTACGCAAATCGCCCAAATCTAAGCTGAAATATTGACATTTCATCGACCATTCGCTCTCCTTGGTGCAACCCAGATTACCAACTGAAGACACAATCAAAAAGTTCTGGGACTTTCTCGGCTGAACTGCAGGCGGTGTATGAGACCGGGACCAAATACTTGATCGATATAATAAATGCAGCGCGGCGAGGAAGTAATTTAGAATCAATAAAGTGTTTCTGATTCTGAAAGATGACACGCAGAGGAGCAAGTTGTTGGACGATGCCTTTAGCACCCGATGTGGAGACTAAGATCAAAAGTACCACATGTATCGTGTGTTCTGTCGCCATTTTGGTATTTTGTTCCAGTATCACTGACACTAGTGGGAACTTAGAAAAAACTGCAGAAGCTGATTAATTTTTTCTGCAATAT